AAAAGACTCCCTACCACAAGGGACCACCGCTGACGCCTGCTCTAAGCCTCATCAGGAGTAAAATCCAGGCCCCATACTTCTAACAGCACTGGGGAACTGGGTCTACCTACTCTTTGAATTTCCCATAATGCCCCAAAACAACACGGCATTGGGGCATTGGGAGAAATTAAGTGGCACCTCTATCTTCTTCTTTATACTTTTCAAGTTTATACATTTCACAAATCTTACAATCATTTTAAAATTTCAAAGCTTGACTTCCTCCCCCCCCCCTTTCTGAGGTTCCTTAAATTTATTTTTAATATCTTCTGCATATCCAAATTAACTTAATTTGCTCATTTATTCATCTTCTTTAAATATATACTCTTATGAAACGGCAGGCTATTACAATAATCCTGCCAATGTTCTTATCTGTAAATATTCCATAAACCGTTTCCATTATATATATATGTGCTATCTTGATTTCTTATTCTTCTGGTAAGTTTCACCATTTCTGCATATTCCATAAGTTTTTGTATCCATTCTTCCTTCGCTGGGACTTCTGCTTCTTTCCATTTTGGGGCAAGTAACATTTTTGCTGCTGGAGTAGCAAACATAAATAAATCTGTACACAGTTTAGGTGGTTCTGTCCATATAATTCATGAAAGAGAAGCTTCTGGTTTTTTGTTTTTTTTACAAACGTTATTTTATGCAACTTTTTCCATTCATTATATATCATTTCCCCCCTTGTTTTGTTTTTAAAATAAAATATTTCAAATTAAAAAAACAACCCAATATGGTATTGCATTTTGCAATTTTACTCACAGCGAATTATAAGTGGCATCACTATCAAGCCACTCAGAAATGCTACTGTGTTTGCCCACCACCACCAATAGATAGACCTAGCATGACCCGTCAATGAAAGAGGGATAATCAGAGGGCATTGTGCCAAGCCCCCCCCCCAAAAAAACCCCGTAAAGGTGTTGTAAGATTGGCAGGTGAGGCCATGTTGCTGGTCGCCAATGCAGGACGAAGTATGTTGGGTGGGGGCCAGGGGAAGGGTCTTTTCAGTGGTGGCTCCTCATACGTGCAACTCTCTCCCCATCTCCTTATAGCATAAGTTGGGTGACTACAACACACCTTTTTCAACAGGTGTTTGGAGGAGGGTGGACCTGCTAAGACAAATGGATGTTTCTACTGCTATTGGTTCCTGCCAACCTAGCAGTTCGAAAGCACGTCAAAGTGCAAGTAGATAAATAGGTACCGCTCCGGCGGGAAGGTAAACGGCGTTTCCGTGTGCTGCTCTGGTTCGCCAGAAGCAGCTTAGTCATGCTGGCCACATGACCCGGAAGCTGTATGCTGGCTCCCTCGGCCAATAAAGCGAGATGAGCGCTGCAACCCCAGAGTCGGCCACGACTGGACCTAATGGTCAGGGGTCCCTTTACCTTTACTGCTATTGGTAATCACTGTCTAGTCATTTGCTATGAGTTGTTGTGTTGCTATTTTTAAGAGTTGTGTCTTTGTGGGCCTTATTGTATCATTTTATCGTATCTGCTTTTGTTGTAAACCGGTCTGTGACTTATGCCCAAGGCTGTACTTAAACCATCTAAATCAGGGCTGTCGAACAGGTCGATCGGGATCAACTGGTTGATCCCCTGGAGTTTTTGGTAGATCGCGGTAGATCACTGGCTCCTCCATCCGGCCCCTCCCCTTCCCCCCGTCCTCTAGATTGCTATAACGTAAGACTCATTTTTCGCTGTGAGGCTGATTGTCTCCTTAGCGATGTACACTCATACCTCATGTTACGTCCGCTTCATGTTACATTCTTTCAGGTTATGTCCCGCAGCCACCCAGAAGTACCGGAAAGGGTTACTTCCGGGTTTCACTGCTCATGCATGCGCAGAAGTGCAAAAGGACGTCACGCGCATGCGTAGAAGCGGCTAATTGCAACCCGTGCATGCGCAGACGCGCCGCTGCGGGTTGCGCTCTTTTCATGTTGTGAATGGGCCTCCGGAACAGATCCCGTTCGGAACCAGAGGTACCACTGTATTGCTTAGCGGCTTTTTTCATTTTGTACACCTGAACCCCCTCCAAAATGGGACGTGCCTCCCTGAAAAAAGCTCAACCACTTTGACCTGACCCCCCCCCCCCAAAAAAGTCTATTGGAAGTTGGACGTCTCTGATCTAAATAAACTAAACCAAGTAAGTAAATAATCCAGAGCTGGCCCTGTTCTTCTGCATACTATCCTGGCAATTTGCATACCCTCACCAGTCAGGGCTGACCAAATGAAAAGAACGATCTTTTCCTTTCTGATTTGTTGCACAGCTTAAGAGAACAGCTCTGCTTAGCTGTTTTAATCTTTTTACGCAGACAGGGTGATAAAATGGAAGAAGACCAATGACGGTGAATCATAAGAGCATAAAATGAGCTGGCCGGATTATATTGCAAATTACAAATCAATTTGTATGTAACTTGCAAGGACTTAACAATTTGAGCATAGGGTTTACTCTGCCAGCATAAAAAGTGGCATGCCAACAGTTACATGAGAACATCATGTTACGCTGCTGCACATGTATGAATGACATTGTGCTGACCTCCCAACACACATGAAGTTGAACATGTTTGAAACTGGAGAGGATGACAATGATTTGCATTCCAATGAAATTTGATGACAATGATTTGCATTCTTATGGAGGTCAGTCAGGATCAGGGACGGGGAAGGAACCTGACACACACACCTAATTTAGTAATTCATAAATCACATTATGTACATGACAGCTCCCCTACAGTTTTTACTTTTCTATTATGCAGTTATCAGGAAGTTAAATCCAGGGACAAGTTAGATTTCCAAAGTGGGGAAGGGAGAGGGAGAGAGACAAATCACAGCTTTTCCAAAGTGATTACTGTATTCAAGTTTCAAGGACAGATATATTACCTGAAGAATATTTCTGGCAATACAAAAACGGGCCTTTTCTGTGGTGGCTCCCCATTTGTGGAATGCTCTCCCCAGGGAGACTCACCTGGTGTCTTCCTTACGGACCTTTAGGTGCCAAATGAAAATTTTTCTTCCAGGCCTTTGGCTATTTAAACAACCTACAACCCTTTAAACTGTGGAGGTGGTGGTATTGTTTGGTTTGTCATTATGTAACGTATTTTTTTATACTGTAAACCACTTGTGATCCTTGGATGGACAGTGGTATATCAATTTAATAAATAATAAAAAATACTAAAAAGAAATCACAGTAAATATTTATATGCTTGCAAGGTAACAGCCGCCCACTTCAGAGTAAAAGCACAATTCTTTTTCTTCTTTTTTTACCACTTACAAGGGAATGGTGTGTTTTTTTGTGTGTTTTTTTTGCCAGAGCTATATTGCCTTCCATTATTATCAATTATGCCTGTATTAAGAATGCCAGGCATTTAGGAGCCATACACCACTGTAATATCAAGAGACTAGCTTTACAGCCACAATACATTTAATAATGCATGGTTTATAGCTGCGACATTTAAATTACATGTCGCAGGGAGGTCAGAAGAATATATATGGGTACGGCTCTTTGAACAATCACATAATTTCTTGAATTGGAGCTGAGCAGAAAATGCTGTTAGCCCCCAAAAGGAAAACGAGTGAGGTGCCAACTGAAGAAGAATGGCAACTTAAGCTGATGGAATATGCACAACTTGCAGACCTAATATATAGAATAAGAGAAGAACATACATTTAAAGATGATTGGAAAATGTTTATTGAATATATGGGGGGAATTGTGCACACTTGGAAACATGGGAAGCATTAAGATAAATGGAACAGTGTAAATAAGTTTTGACGGATGTAATAATGGACTACTGAATGGCTTAGTTTATGTAAAATGTGCAGGGATTTATGCTATGCAAAACGAACCATAGAAAGAGAAGAAGAGGTGCCATTGATATTTTAAGGATGTTTAAATGAGTATTATAAATTGTAAAACAGAAAATTTAATTTAAAAAAATATGTAAAAAAGGGAAAGAAAATGATGTTTCTATTGTCTCCCAAGGCAGGAGATTGGTGTGGAACTTTATGGCCTAGATTTTCAAAGACTGGAGGTTTCAAAGCCTGACATCCCCTTGGTGCCAATATAATCTCACTGTTTGTGACATCTCATTTGCAGACAGTGCACATTTTGAATCCACAAAGCCATCCTGCTTAGAAGGATGCCCCGACCATCATTCAGATTTAACGTCAAATGTTGTCAGTGAGGCTCAGTTTTCAAATCATAAATCATAAATCTGTGTCCCATGGCCTGCGGATACACCTTCTAGATTGGAGCAGCTTATACTTTTACCAGCTAAGCTAATTTCCTAACCTCTTTCCTGACCCATACATGCATCATGCATGAGGTTCATGATTTATTAAGCTGCCCTGTCAGACCTGCTTCCTTGAATTAATAAAGTATCCTGGCCCAAAAATGACTGACCTGACCCTTTAAGAAGATGTCTGAGAGGCTTTGATGTGTGTATCTGTGTCAACAATACACATCCACAAAACCCACATGTGTGTGTGCATGTGTACATATGGTTTGTAGCGGGCAGCATGTGTCTCTCCGTGAGTTGTGGCGCGTCAAGGAACTACCCAACTAAACAGAATCAATAGAAATTTAGGTATCCTTCAAATGACACATTTACCCATTTATAGGCGGCTGGCTGGCTCAACATTTGCCTTAAGTAGCCAGGTAGCCAGGAGAGGAGACTTTCCCCCCTGAGGCAGAATATGACCCAGCCACCTATTAAACAAGACATGCTACTCATTTCCTGTTCATAGGTAGCTATTATTTTAGTGGTGATTTACTGCTATGTGTCTTCCATACTACGCATGCCCTTAAGTAGACGTGCTGTCTGAAGGAGGGTCTCTAAATTTCTACGGTTTCCACAACCAACAAATACTCTGCATTCTTCAGCTAGCATAACATAGGCAGCTTGTGCCCAATGAAGAAATGAGCTGATACATTGTGCTGGTGAAGAATGTGAGTGGCTAGTGGGAAAATCAGCCTGGATAGCTCAATTGGTTAGAGCTTGGTGCTGATAAAGCCAAGGTTGTAGGTTCGATTCCCATATAGGACAGCAGCAGGGGGTTGAACTGGATGACATAATGAGCTGCTCTGGTCCTGTGCGGTTGTCCAGGGTGTGCAGAACATCGTGGGTGGGGATAGGAACATCGCACCACCACCAGCACCAGTCCCGATGTGTAATCAGGATCCTGAGGAAAAAACCAATGTAGGATATGAATTGCAAGGCGTGAGGAACAGCTAAAGAAGCCCATGTGTAAGTGGTCTCAGCTGGTTGACCTTGGTCCAATTCTGCAAGTTGCTGAACAATCATGGCGGCATCTGATCTGAGGCACCAAGGAGGACCTTCACAACCCACAGCGTTCGTAACCCGTGTGTGCACACGCGCGGGTTGCGATTCGGTGCTTCTGCACATGCACAAAGCGCAATTTAGCGCTTCTGCACATGCGCGACCACCGAAACCCGGAAGTAACCCGTTCCGGTACTTCCAGGTTTCGGCGGTCCATAACCTGAAAAAACGCAACCTGAAGTGGCTGTAACCCAAGGTATGACTGTATTGTATTACAGGGGTGTGTGTGTGTGTGTGTATGCACACACACAGAGAGAGGGGGAGAAACATATGCGGTTGATCCTTATGTCATAGCTTTCGCTGCCAAGCCTATAAACTCGCAGACTTCTGAGTCAGGTGTATGCAATGATGAGGATGTCTTTACCGGAAAGTGAGAGCTGATGTTCCTAGATAGTGATACAGACATATGACAGGGATGATGTATAGGAATCATGACAGGAGATGGTGAAAGATACGTTACTCATCACCGTGAGGGAGTTATGCAAGGCAGGCCAAATGAGAAGCAGCGGAAAGCATGTTCAGCGAGTGTAAAATGACACTGCCACACACGGTTCTCCAAAACTATTAAAGAATTGCCTGGAGTTTTTTTTTTACTGGTGTGTTTCTTCCGGTCACACAGAAAGTTGCCTTGTCCTGAGTCAGGCCATTGGTCCATCTACACCAGCATTGTCCACACGGACAGGCAGCATCTGTCCAGGGGTTCAGACAGAGGCCAATCCCAGCCGTTCCTGGCGATACCAGGGAATGAAATTGGCGCTTTCTGCATGCAATACTGATGCTCTACCACTGAAATGCATCCCCTTTCCCCAGACTAAGAAGGATGCAATTTTAAGACAAATAAATAAATCTTAGATATGTTTTGGGGTAGTTGTACCAGTAGCCTGGTGCTTCGACAGTGTCAAAGCCATGATTCTTTGACATCAACTTTGTTGGACTGGTCATGTTGTGCGGATGCCTGATTACCGTCTTCCAAAGCAACTACTCTATTCCAAACTTAAAAATGGAAAGCGTGATGCTGGTGGTCAACAAAAGAGGTTTAAAGATGCTCTCCAGGCAAATCTTAAAAATTGTAGTACAGTGGTACCTCAGGTTAGAGACGCTTCAGGTTACAGACTCCGCTAACCCAGAAATAGTACCTAGGGTTAAGAACTTTGCTTCAGGATGAAAACAGAAATTGCAGAGCGGCGGTGCGGCGGAAGCGGGAGGCCCCATTAGCTAAAGTGGTACCTCAGGTTAAGAACAGTTTCAGGTTAAGAACGGACCTCCAGAACGAATTAAGTTCTTAACCCGAGGTACCACTGTATAAACACCGACAACTGGGAAACATTGGCCTGTGAGTGCTCCAACTAGAGAACAGCCTTTACCAAAGGTGTCATGGGCTTTGAAAATCCTTGAACTCAGGACAAAAGGGAGAAACGTGCTAAGAGGAAAGCACACTTGGCAAACCCTTGTCATGATCAACTCCTGCCCAGAAACCTATGCCCCCACTGTGGAAGGACGTATGGATCAAAAATTGGCCTCCACAGTCACTTACAGACTCACTGTTAGAACGGTGTTTATGGAAGACAATCTTACTCGGCTACAAGTGATCGCCAAAGAAGAAGAAAACCAGTAGCCTCATCATGAGCGGCTGGGGGGGGTCTGAGCCCCAGTCTTGTATGTCCCACCCCTGATCTCCTGTCCCTTTCATTTCCACAGCTCTTTCCCCCATAAGCCTATGATCCCCACCCCAGGCAGCCCTCCATCCACGAAGCTTATGAGGCCAGAACTGCTTCACTTCTGAGTCATATATCACATCTATATACAGGTATATTTTGCTTTGTATAAATGAAAATATTCAGCTGCTTAATGCATCTAGCCCTTGGAGGGAGATAAACATTTGGCATGGTGCATTTTTAAAGTGCACAAAAAGACCCCCAACATCTTCAAGAGTCATTCTTGCTCTTTTGTATTGTTTAGAGAGGCAGGAATTGTAAAAGATATATCCTCCTTCCTTGTTTGCTTTTTTTTTAATTAAAAAAGAGAGAGACTGTTGTATTGATCCCTCCAACACATAAACATTTTATTTAATTTAGATTATTTCCATTTCACCTTCCCGTTGTGCATTCTGCAAGGTGGTTAACGTAAAAATATAGGGTTGTGTTCAACTGCGTCCCTCTGCTTGGGGAAGGCTGCTTAATTCAAAGAAGGCTTCTGTTCACAAAAAAAGGAGAGGAGGTGATTTTTGCTGATTCTCCCTTCCTTCTAACCCCCCTGCACCCCTCTCAAAAGCTGCTAAAGAAGGTTGAGAATCCTTTGGGACAGTGTTATCGGTGTCACTGTGGGATATGATTTTGAAACCGTGCCAAAATATTCTATCAGTGCCGGATTTATGTATAGGCTAAGTAGGCTGAAGCCTAGGGCCTCTGAGTCTAGGGGGCCTCATCAGCCTGCCCTCTCCCCAGTGCCGCAGTCTCCCCTCTCCCAAAATTGCAAACCCAAGACTTCATGCAAGGGCAGGGCAACTCAGGCGCAGCAACTATGAGACTCAGGGCTAGCCAGTGGGGCGCAACTTGGATTTTTTAAAAATTCTTTTTTGAAGGGCCCCAGGTCACAGCCAAAGTCTGCAAAATCTTATAGATATAAATAAGATCCATATACATTGCCTGGTGCAGGGGCCCCTTTAGGAGCAGCACACAGGACCCAAGTTGGCCCAATTGCTCCAAGTGCCTTAAGGTCAGCCCTGATGAGACTGTGCAGGGGTTTGACTGACAGGCCTGCACCTTCTTGCTCCCCGGTGTCACCATTCAGGGTACAGGCTCAAGGACTTGTTATGGAAATAAAGGGGGGCACTTATTGGAAATCAGTTTTGTCACCTCTCCCTCCCCAAACCCCGAGACAATGAGCGCAGCCACCTTTTATTCACAGTCACATAAGCACTACACTACAGCATAGCCATAAACTTGTACGTTCAACCGCTGAAATATACACCCAATATGTAGCAATGGAGATTTATGTTACTGCTTTATGAATGAACACTGCTTTTACGAATGGACTCTGTATTTTGTGAATTACCTAAGCGCCACCAATAGGGAGTTCTAGAATCTGACAGCTAACCAATTGGGTACTACCAAACTGCGCCCCCTATTGCTGAAAGCAGGTAGCCAGCAGGGAATGCTTCAGCTCAGCCTTGGCACTGTTGACTGAACACCCCCTGCTGTGCAGATAATGGAGAAAGCTCATAAATTGTATCCCTTCTGGCATCCTGGTCAACTCTATTATGCTGGTGAAAACCCTGGTGCACCAGAAGCACAGAATAGCAGCAAATAAAATCCGCTCATACATCAACAACTGATAAGACTTATCAACCAGTTTTTCCAAAGTCTTCCTAAACACAGGCCAAAAGAGAGTGGGTCTGGGAAGAGTGAGGCATACAATGGGCACCACCAGTGAAAAGGCCCTGCTCCGTGTAACTTCTGCCCTGTCATTTGATAGAGTGCCACTTGCCCTCCTTCTTGACATGGAATGCTCTCTGTTGGAGTCTCCAGGTCCAGTACAAAGACCATAAGAAGGGAGAGCAGGGACCTTGAAGTTCCCAAAAGCTGATAAGCAAGCACACAAGTCACCTTTGTCACAGTCAGGACACCTATGTCCTGGCCAGGCCTGCACCCAATCTTGTTTTTGTACAATCTTGTTTGTCCTCAGTAACCAAAATTATAATATCAACATATACAAGCAGAAAAGTTGTTTTCCTTCATTTGCAAGGAATCATACAAAACAAAGTGGCACTAATAAAGAAAAGTTCCAGAGTGGCAATAGAAAGCAAACTAAAAATGCTTTTGCAGTTCATCAGAACTATTCAGCAATATCAAGTTATAGTAGAACTGGTGCTGTTAACAGTAATCCTTCTAGTTGGTTAATTGGTTCAGCAACTTCCATGCCCATGATGTGTGATGCTAATTATTTTCCCCAAGAGTTAAATGATAATCAGAGGCAGCTACAGGAGAGCTATGAGATTCAGATGAAAGTCAAATGACTTCTCAACCCAAGCAGGTATATAAGAGGATGACCTGGCCTGCCCAACATTCTCCTGAAGAGGAGAAGCCAAGCATGGAAGACTTGTGTATAGTATGCAGATCTGAAAGGACCACAAAGGGTAAACCACCCAAAAGGTGTGCTAAGAGTTTGCTAAGACGGTCATAGCAGTTACAGCTGTAACTCAGAGAAGGTTTAGGAACCTTCAGGCTTCCAAGAGGTCCAAAGTTTAACCTCAGAGGATGCTGAGCCATGGTGAAATGCCATGAAGGCTGAACTTGATTCCTTAGAGAGGAACAAGACATGGGAACTAGTTCCAGGCCTGCCCAGGCCGCTAAAGGTTTACAAAGTTCAGTTATTGCAAAACTTTTCCAGTGTTAATTTTATGCATTTTTTAAAATCACCATGGTATTTAACAATAATATCTTATGTCCTTTAGAGGAGAAATTGTGAATTGTAGAATTTTAAATACCCATCATCATCCTTGAATTCACTCAATTTTGTTTATAACACTCTTCCATTTTCTTCTAGTTGTGAGGATGGAGGATGGGCCTCACAAGTAGAGTAGCCTAGGGCCTCTCTTCATCTAAACCCAGCCTTGTCTTCTATACATGAGGCCTAAGAATTTCCTTGCTTTTATTGCAACTCTACTTCCATATAACACTGCATTTCCCCCCCTGGCTTACATATGCTACACCCTGATAGGTCTGGACAATTTCCTTTTCTTTCCATTACTGAATTTTCACTTATGCATTCGAAGCGTGTTCCCATTTGCCTGCGCTACACTAGAGGCGGGGAAGCATTTTTCAAAGATAAGTAATTTAATTTTAAAGCAAAATTATTACTCACATCTTTAGCAAGATCATGCAGCTGCAACCTGCATAATTAGTTTGGTAGCAGTGTCTCAGCGGGGTTAAGGGCGTTGGTTTGATTACACCTCACTTGAAACACTCACACACTTTTAAATAACGAGAAAGTTGAAACGTTGGGTTATTTGAAGCTGACTTACGGCCAGAAACCAACAGCTAAATATAAAGAGGAAATCGTTCTTCATTCTGGGTTGAACTGATGGGAAATAATCAGACTCTTTTTGCCTAGGGAGAAATGGATGCATTTTTGAAGTAAAATAATTGTCATGCTTGGATCCCTTCTGCGGAAGCAAAACAGTTGGGCATTCAATTGCATATGGTTTTTTTTATTAAAAAAAAAAAAAGACCAGATATTTAAATTATATTGGTCACTTGCTCTGTAGCCACCTCAAGGCCTGTCAGGTAAAATCTTGAACTCATTGTCTTCCTTTTGAGCAACAAACTGAATCTTAACCATGTCAAGGCAGTGATTATTTAAATGGACGCATTTTTGCTGCAAATTATGAGATTGTTCCCACCCTACCTAAGGATGGCAAAATGAAGAGGGGCATTTTGCCTGTTATTCTCAGGGAGGAAGGGAGGGAGATCGGGTTTTCAAACTGTTCAAATGAGAAAACTTCTCAGAGAATTCCCTTTGGAGAAATTTTGGCTCAGGTAATACAAAATCAAACTATGTCTTTTGTTCATGGACTGGAATGACTCGGTGGGACAAACCTATTGCTTTCTTCAGCAGTATTAGCGCAATGTTAGATAGTATAAACGATGGATACATAGCAGCACATGAAATTCTCCACTCTGTTCGCAAGCAGAGAAGTCAGGGCGGGGTCATTTTGCTGACTGATTTTTTCCAACAGCTTGGGGGGGGGGAGAAAATTTTCAGAGACTTTCTCAGAGAAAAAACTATCCTTGTTGAGGCATTTTGGCCCTGCTCTAGAATGTACTGAACATTTATCTTAATGTGTTCTCTAGGAAATACCAGGTGACATCAGAGCAGAGCTACATGTTGCAGGAAATGCAAGTGTATTGCTGATAGTGGCCGCTTCATGCCAACTCTCCCCCCCCACCTCCATAGTAAGGGCAACGTAATATTTTTTAAATAATTAAAAAAGAAAAAGAAAGATATAGCCTGTCTTTAAGAGGCAAAAATCTCCCAAGTTGGCTTTTCGAAGCCTAGCCCATCAGCTACAATATAGTGCTTCCGGAGAAATGTTTGGGAGGTGTTCCTCTATGACACCTTCTTAGCATTGGCATCAAGCCAGACTTTGAGGTGGGGCAGCATAGCCCCAGAATGAACCGAGATAAACTTCATGCATGCAAATATTCATATCATGAAACAAATACAGGACTTAATATAGAGCCTTGGCAAAGAGGTGAAGTTGGGAGTGGGTTCTTTTGCTTTTGCTTCAGGGAAAGGGGTCAAAAGGGACATTCTCACCGCTCTCTCTGAGCCCTCGTGCCCACCGGGTGCAAGGGAAAAAATTTGTACAATCTGCTCTTCACAGTGGACCAACCTGATCCAACGCTCCCAAACTTGCTTGAGGACCAGAATGCATCTCCCAGCAGGATTACACATTTCCCTCGATTTTGTGGTGCACTTTTGGTGCACAAAAAGTGCACATAAAAATGCATATTGTTTGGGTGGGTGGGAGGTACAACGTATGTATTTTACAGGGGACAAAAATGAATCTGAAAGGTTTGGAGATGTGTGTTTTCGATCAGTGCGTGTTGAACAAAACCCCTTGGTTTGGGGGGCAGAAGATGTCTTGTCTTACGAAGTGCCCATTTCAGTTTGCCTACAGTGAAATATACTCGGAGTCCTGTAGTGATTTCATGCTCTTTATTGCAGCTTGTAAAACAGTGATTGAATTGCCCCCCCAAAACCTCCGGCTTTTATATACATTATTTACACAATGAGTCCCGTCTGATTGGCTGATTCTGCTTCCCTCCTGGAGCCTGATTGGTCTTTTCCTGCAAGCCAATCAGTTGTTGCATTCTAGGATCCTACTTGCCTATTGTTCTAGAATCCAAGCTTAGTACATAATACCTACTGGTGGTGATGCTTGCCCAGTCCAATAAAGCACGGCAAGCACAACATTGCTGCTTTGTCTCTTTTGCCCAGAGCACTGATAGGAAGCAGCTGAAGTTGACCCTTCCCTTGTAGCAGGCAAGGAGCATTACCACACCCTGTGTTGAGCTTCCTGTTGTAAACGGTGACTCTGCATGGGAAAGGAAGTGCAATTGGGCGGGGAAGGGTATGGACCACAGCTCGGCAGAGTGACAGGGCATAAGCTTCAAATGCAGAAGTCTTTGAATTCAGTCTCCAGTTACAAAGGATTCTTGGGCTGGGAAAGATCTCTGCCCTGAGACTTGGGAGAACCAGCTAAAGAAGAATGGCAACTTAAGCTGATGTGCAGCTTGCAGATCTAACATATAGAATAAGAGAACAAGAAGAAGATATGTTTAGAGAAGTTTGGAAAATGTTTATTGAATCTATGGGGGGAAATCGTGCACACTTGAAAATGTGGGCAGCATTCAGATTAATTCAACAGTGTAAATAAGTTTTGATGGATATAATAATGGAATACGGAATGGTTTAGTTTATGTAAAATATGCAGAGATTTATGCTATGCAAAATGAACCATGTAAAGAGAAGAAGAGAAGTCACTGATATTTTAAGGATGTTTAAATCAGTATTCAAAATTGTAAAACAGAAAATTTAATTTAAAAATTATGATTGAAAGAAAGAGAGAAAAAGAAAGAAAGAATGTTTCTATTGTCTCCCAAGGTAGGAGATTGGTGTGAAACTTTATGGTCTAGATTTTCAAAGACTGGAGGTTTCAAAGTCTGACATCCCCTTGGTGCCAATATAAGGGCATCACAGAAATAATCTTCTCACTCACCCCTTTCTCTTTCTCTTTCTCTTTCTCTTTCTCTTTCTCTTTCTCTTTCTCTCTCTCCCGTTGTAGGCTGCATGGATCAATGGACTGGCACAGCATCAGTTAACAGGCAACGTGGTAGGTTCAAGAAAAACTCATTTTTAATTACAGCTGAGCAGATTGAGGATGCCAAGGAATGCGAATTGAGCACGGGGGCATTCCTGAGCCCTCCCGGGTTAAGTTCTCGATAGCTGTCTAAACCCAAAATGTCAAGACGCTGCTTCCCCTTTACCTCCCACAGAACTGCCTCCCACAGATACCCACAGATACCAGGGCCAACTCCAGAGGGTGGCAAGAATCAGCATTTGCTCCAAAACCAGGAGATGGCCCAACATGCAAATGGCGGCACCATTCTCTACCCGACTCACCACCTTCGGTTTCTACGGAGTATCCAAGAAGATCAAGCGCAGCCTCAGAGAATTTTTAGTTCACATGTTCCACCTTTTCCAGGTTAGGGCAAGGGGCGTACTGGCAATGCCATGCTGTTTGATGAGTTACAGGTACAGTGGTACCTTGGTTTAAGAACAGCTTAGTTTATTAACAACTTGGATTAAGAACGCTGCAAACCCAGAAGTAGGTGTTTTAGTTTGTGAACGTCTTTTGCTTCCTGTTGAGTGTTTTCCATTTGTAAATTGAGTCCCCCGCTGCTATGGGAAAGCACGCCTTTGTTTAAGAATGCTTTGGTTTAAGAACGAACTTCCGGAACAGATTAAGTTCATAACCAGAGGTACCACTGTATTCTGTGGTAAAATGCTGAGATTGCAGCATTGCAGGGGGTCGGATTCTCAGTGTACCTGCCAACTCTACAATTCTATGAGATAGCCAAGTTGACACACGCACACATATTTCAAAGGAAACTGTTATGACCAATATTTATTTCTTTTAATAGATACGAGCCAATCAAACCTATCACATCTCCTGTTATCTCTCCTTCACTGGGATTACCACATTAATAACAGGACCTCTGGAAATACGCAGCTCCTTTTTGTAAAAAGAAACAGTACATTTCTCACGTTATTGTTTAATCCTCCCTCTACACCTCCTTAATCCTAATCTGTGACATCACTACAGTGTCCACAGGTTTCTGATTTCATTGGAGGAAATGGCAAAGGAAATTCAAAAGCAGAAATAGAAAGCTTTTATCCCAGCTACAACCATTGTTCATAAGACCTCAACATTTATCAGATTATAAATGCACGCTTTTGGTTCACCAGCCAATATTGCACAATGAGCACTCACACTTTATATGTGTGTGCCCTTCTTTGCGGGATCGCGCGTGGGGCTACAGTTCCCAGGGAACTCTCTAGTAGATGGGGACTTGCTTCTCAGTGTTGTTATTCAGAGGTTCACACCCAGCCTCAGTAGTCAAGTTTCTTGCTAAGAGGTGGGGCCAGCCCCATTTATAAATAGGGGGTGGCGCTGACAATAGCCAGGCAGTCGGCTCTGGAGATTCACCCTCCCTACCATCCCTTTGTTTAATATTTTCTTGTTTTCAGGTTAACTTTTTCTTCCTGTTTAGCAGGCGCTGCTACGGGCTTTGGCTGGTTGCTGTTGAAGGACAGGGAAGAAATTTTCCTGCATTGGCAGGTTTTGTCTTCCCCGTAGCAATTCGTCACAACTTTTGTGGCGGTTATGGCCTTGGGTGGAATCCTTTAGTCTTTTCTTCCCTATAATGGCAGGGGAGGGTGAAGTGGTGACTCACGCCCCTGCGGTGGCAATTCCAGGGTCCCCTCTTAAAGAGGTTATATAAATGGGTGTCACTGGCCATACATACACTGAAAGGTCATCAGTGAACTACCCTGCTTGCAGGGATATGGGCTGGGCTGCCTGCTACACTTACATCTCGCAGAGCACCCCCATTTCCCATTTACCCTGAAGTGCCCCCGTTCCCCCAGCTGGGGACCTGAGAGGGATACACTCCCAAGGCCAAAGCCAAGGTCTTCCTACATTCGGTAGTTTAATAAAGCTGTGGCCTAATTTTAATTCCATACCACATAGTCAGAGTCTTTATTCCTTCCTTATGATCCCTGGGGGCTGGGGCTGTCGCCCCTGGTCACGCCATGTCTTTCTGCCCCAGCTAGCTGAGGGCCTGCCATCATAGATTTCCATGGATGCTGAGGCTCCTTTGAAGCTCTTTCACTTCCATCTTCCTGGTCGGTCTGTTTGGTCTTGTCTATCTTCAACAGATCTCATAACTGTGGAAACCCACAGAACTGACAAAGGAACAATAGCTTGTAAAATGACAGCAACTGATTGGTTACTCACTTTTCCACAGTGATCTTTATTTCTGCCAAGCGGTTCCTCATACTACCATGCCTCTTCTGCGGTATTTTTTTTTTTTTTAAGTTTGGGTTTAATGGGCCACAAACTGCACCTCCTTTCTCCTGATGCCCTTAACTTTGCCAAGCACTTCCCACAACCAATAACATTGAATCAGCTTCCCCGCCCCACACACACACCCTCTGATATCACAGCAGATCTTTGTTAGTGAATCTAATAGGGAGTCAGTTGCCCAGCAGCACACCCTTTGTCTGCCATTGGTTCTGTTACTCTGATGTCACAGCGTACAATGTCATAAAGAACCATGTGCCACCTTGCTGGCTGTTAATGAGCAACAGGGGAACTTACTTTTCAAATGTTGAGGTCCACCAGCAACCTTTGCTAAACTAAACAACAAAGCTTTGTGTTGATGCCAAGCACTTTCAAACGATGCCTCGCTGTTGAGTTGAACTAAACCACATTGGAGCCTTTCTCCCCAGTACGCCAAGACTAGCACCAGCCAATACTGGTCTCTCTCACAATGGGATGACTTTTGCAAAACTGCAAGATTGTAGGCTTTCTTTTCTCTCCAAAATAAATAAATGAATGTAGTGCCACTGGTTAATTACTTGATGAAAACATTCCTCCCTCCCTCTCTCTCTCTCTATCTCTCTCTCTCTCTCTCAATTAGATTTAATTGAACTGATGTAACTTTTGGACCAGAGTAGACAAATAGGATGGCTACTATATATACTACTATACACTTGAAAGAGAAGTTGCTGAATTACAACTCCTTACCAAACAACTCCTTACCAAACCATGGAGACACCTGGTCTGAATAGAGATATTGATGTCCCATTATATATACTAAAGCTAATTTTGGTCATCTATCCCTTTAAAAATCCCTTGCCCTTCCCTGTGGAACCAACTGGCATAACAGTCATCAACAGTTATAAGGTTGAAGCGACCTTCTTCAGAGTATCTGACGATGTGTGTACTACACACGAAAGCTCATACCTTGAAAGCTTATATTTAGTTGGTCTTAAAGGTGCCACTGGAATTATTTTAAAAGATTTTTTTTTCATCTTCCATCTTGATATTTATTATGAGGGTGGCTACTAGTTCAGACCAAACGGGAGAGCTAAGAAGCTGTGGATTTCCACATTCACCATGAAAGCATCTCAGAGGAAAGAAGCCCACATCAGTCCACTTTTAGGTCCCAGAGAGATGTAAAGAAGAACACTTAGACCGAAAAGGCTGTTCTGAACTTGACATGTGCATTTCCTCAGCTGAATGTACAGCGCTGGAATCACTTTGTTCTGCTCTTTGCAACGTGTGCTGCAATCAACGGCAACATTTTGGAGAAAGGAACAGAACAGGTTTTTTCAGCTGACTCACCTGAACTGCCTGCCTGAAGCCTTTCAAGACTCAACTTTTTGCTATGCCTTGAATGACTCCCAACTAGGGCAGCAGTCCTATACACATTTACCTGGAAGCAAGTCCCACTGAATTCAGCATTGATTATTGGTTCAGAATAGCTTTGTATTGCAGGACAGATTCTGCTGTCTTCCCACAAATACCGGGCAATTCTTCTCCTGATCGTAAAGACTGCTTCTTGGTGTTCAGCACATGGGTAGCAAGCAGTAAACAAATCCAAAATAAACCATTTATTTCCCTTGCATATGTGGGTCAACGAATGACTTTCCATTCGGGTGAGTCACTGAGTTCCTCCAAACCCTTAAGGTGTACTGCAAATGAAAAATGTGGTTTGCATTGGAATGCAGTAATGCATAAGGCTTGCTGGAAGACTCAACTTTCGCTCCTAAGTCCAAAAATCAAGGCTTTTTGACTGTCAGATATATATATATATCCCTTTACAATGAAAGCATAAAACACCCCCTCCTCAAACAAGCATTTAAGCCCAGGAACACGAGTTTGCACTTCGTCTAAGGCCTACCCACCCAGTGAGCCAAAGTGTGTTCTTTCTGGGTGGCTCAGAGAATAGCACATTGCAGTGGAAACACCCATTTATTTCATTTACTGCCATTTATAATATTTTCCACTAGTTGGAGATAATGAATTCATCCATATTTGCCAAGATTATGCAGCTTATTTATTGCCAAAATTATCCAGAATCTTTTTTTCCTTTTTTCTTTTAAAGGAAAGAAGCCATTGCCCATGATTTTCCATGAGTGCCTGGTGGTTCTTTTGGAACGAAAGTTACATCCTTGCTATTAACAATGCATTACAATAGCTTTGAACTCTCCTGCTTGTAGCTGGGACAGATCCCTCAAGGACACTTGCTTCAAGACTTTTAATTGTTTGGGATAATTAAAGGCAGGCCAGAAATCTGGAACTGCCCTTAGTTCTCCTCCATGTGTGAAGGCACTCTTTAATAGTCTTCTCACAAAAGCAGAGGGGTATCGGCTCATCTATAGATGATTTCCCAAATTTTAGTTACTCCTCGTTCCTTTTAGCTAAGCCGTGTGACTCACAACAGCCATTCTGCCTGACAAAGCCAAGCAGAATGTGGGGCTGATCCTCAAGTTTACTGCACCAGTAAATGCTCAGAAGGAAACCCATGACTTCAATGCATCATTTAATACCTCCAGGCTCACCAATCTGTGCTAAGTTCTCTCTGTGTGTGTTCTTTGCATATGTGGAAACAACTGAGAGTGGAAATCAAGTCCAAACAACTTCTGTAAGACACTGTGATCCTAGATTTCTTGTTCCTCTCGAGGGCACTGCTCCCAACACCCCATGTGCTGAGTTGTTAGTCAGCCAGGATGTCTGGGCTGTTATGGGGTCCAAGGATTACATCCATGGTGGTGGGTGGAAGGACCCTGAGTGAGAGGCAGGGCATGACCGCCCAGGGTGAGAGACTGGGAGAGGAAAGGAAAGGAAAGGTGAGAGCTAGGAGGCTCCAGCACTTTCAGTGGGAGACAAGGATTAAGAATTACAGTGGTACCTCTGCTTACGAACTTAATTCATTCTGGAGGTCCGTTCTTAACCTGAAACTGTTCTTAACCTGAGGTACCACTTTAGCTAATGGGGCCTCCCGCTGCCGCCGCACAGCCACCGCACAGTTTCTGTTCTCATCCTGAAGTAAAGTTCTTAACACGAGGTACTATTTCTGGGTTAGCGGAGTTTGTAGCCTGAAGCGTCTGTAACCTGAAGCGTCTGTAACCTGAGATACCACTGTACCTTTTCCAGGTCCACCACATCTTTCATATGTGGTGGACCTGTAAAAGGGTAAAAGAGTATTGGGAAACAATTCATAATGAACTGGGGGGGAAATGTTTAGAAGTACTTTTCAAAAAGACAAAACCAGAGTCCTTTTTGTTGGGGAAAATTCAGACTGAAATTCCCAGGTGTCAAAAAAAGGTTATTTTTGTATGCCACTACTGTGGCTCGTGTTTTGTTAGCCCCCAAATGGAAAACGAGCGAAGTCCCAACTAAAGAAGAATGGCAACTTAAGCTGATGGAATATGTGCAGCTTGCGGACTTAATATATAGAATATGAGAACAAGAAGAACATACATTTAAAGAAGCTTGGACTTTTTTTAAAAAAAATAGTATTTATTAAAGTTTTAAGTTTACAAAAAGGCAAAAGAAAAAACATCAAATTAAGCAATAACAAAACCAACACATCACAATAAAAAACCGAAAAATACAAACAATGAAAAGCAAAAGAAAAAAGAAGAAAGAAAACAAAACAAAACGAACCTTCCCATAACTTATCTTTCATTTGCTTGTTTCCCTGACCTCCTCACACCTACCTTTTTTGTATTCTAGGTCAATTATCCATTTCAGCAAATCCTTTCCCTCTCTTCAAAATTTTTATCCTGAAAATTTATCTTGATCTTGATATAAGTTTACTTTCCCTCTTTTCACCAATTAACAGTCTATTTTTCTTTAACTCTTTGATACATTTTTGCTAGAATCACCTAGATTCATTCCAACATCATTCTAACATTCATTAATTTTACAATGTTTCTGTAAATAGTCTTTAAATTTCTTCCAATCTTCCTCCACCGACTCTTCTCCCTGGTCTCGGATTCTGCCAGTCATTTCCGCCAGTTCCATATAGTCTATCACCTTCATCTGCCATTCTTCCAGAGTGGGTAGATCTTGTGTCTTCCAATACTTTGCAATAAGTATTCTTGCTGCTGTTGTGGCATACATAAAAAAATTTCTGTCCTTCTTTGACACCAATTGGCCGACCATGCCCAGGAGAAAGGCCTCTGGTTTCTTCAGAAAGGTATATTTAAATACCTTTTTCATTTCGTTATAGATCATCTCCCAGAAAGCCTTAATCCTTGGGCATGTCCACCAAAGGTGAAAGAATGTACCTTCCGTCTCTTTACATTTCCAGCATTTATTTTCGGGCAATTGATAAATTTTCGCAAGCTTGACTGGTGTCATGTACCACCTGTATATCATTTTCATTATATTCTCTCTTAAGGCATTACATGCCGTGAACTTCATACCTGTGGTCCATAACTGTTCCCAGTCAGCCATCATAATGTTATGTCCAACATCTTGTGCCCATTTAATCATAACAGATTTTACCGTTTCATCCTGAGTATTCCATTTCAGCAGCAAATTATACATTCTTGACAAATTCTTAGTTTTGGAATCTAACAGTTCTATCCTTATTGTCTATTTGCAGCCCATTCCCAGGGTCTGAGCTGTGGAGTTTTAGTTTCCTTCCCTCTCTCTCACAGGTATGAAAAGTCCAAAACTTCTCCCCCCTCTTCTCCTGCTTCCCGGGGGGAGTTTTCTAATTTAGAAATTGGGATTTTAATCCTTTCCAGTCGGCTCTCCAAGACTCTAGCTTGCAGCCTTTGCTTTGTTCTGACTACAAAAGCGGAAGGCAGACTTCCTGTTTATGCCTCCCCGCTACAATTCCAAATTGCAAATTTCTTCCTTTAAAAAGTTCCAATATGGTTGTTCTTAAATAATATCTTTAAAATCCAATTGTTCTACTCACGGGTAGTATCTTTTTAAGTCCAATTGTTCACAGGAAAAAGTCAGCGCTCTCCGGCAACGGCTCTGCGGCTTCACTCTGTGGAAAGAGCAGTCGATTCACAGCACCGCGCTGCTCACCCCACTTCGCTACGGATCCCGCGAACGGGTTTCCCCGCGAGTAGGGGAGGCGCTGAAGGTGCCTGCCGAATCCCACGTTCACAGGCTTCACCCGCCTGTGATTTCTGAAGGGTCTCCGCCTTCGCCGTGGCGGCCAGACCCGATCTCCACGGAGCAAATTCCTCTTAGTCAGAGGAATTCAGCCATTAGCCGATGGCGCCAACCGGAAGTTAAAGAAGCTTGGGCATTGTATATTGAATATATGGTGGGAAATGGTGTATATTTGAAAACGTAGGCAGCATTAAGATAAATTCAACAGTGTATATAAGTTAGATGCAATAATGGAATACTTTAGTTTCTGTAAAATTTGCAGGGATTTATGATATATAAAATAAGCCATGGAAAGAGAAGGGAAGTCATTGATATCTTAAGGATATAAAAATGAGTACTTTAAATTGCAAAACAGAAAATTTAATAAAAATTATATATAAAAAGAAAAGAAAAGAAAAGGGAGGCCGATATTTTGCAGATTCAGATCTCGATCCTGTTAAACCAGGAATAACAACTCTGTTGCAAGTTTCACAAGGATGTTCACATGGAAATGCAGCATGCGATCAACAAGGCTCCCTTCCTCCCCATTTTGAGATGGGTGCTGGGAATATTCCCCCCCCCCCTCGAATGTCATTTTATCCTTGAATCTGTTGTTTTTTCATTGTACTGGTCACTTTACCTTGTTTAAAGATCTGCTGCATTTCGTGTGTGCGTATAGTTTTGTTGTCAGTGCGTGCGTGCGTGTGTATATATTTGTAAGTGGCTTTGAGGATTGATTTTGAACATGGGATATAAATAATTTAAATCAATAAATAATGGATAAAATTAGATCGCAGGAGGAAGAAGGAGCCGAATGCAAAACAGAGAATTGTACTATAAGGTTACCCATCTATTAAAGTGGCTTCCATACAGAGATAATTTGTATGAAGCACAGAGGAGAGTTGCAGAGTGATATCTGCTTTGTGAATCTATAAATAGCCAAGACTCTGTTCCCTGCAAATCATAGCCATTTACTTCCAAAGCAATATCTCCATTCTCATTGTGGCTTAGTTCCATCTCCACTCAATGTCCCGTTAGTAGCAAATTAATTCAGTATCCACACCAGCCCTGTGAATCAGAAAATTTAATGTCGAGTATTAGTTTGGCCGCTGAGTTATTCCCATTGGGGTATGAATGCCCCATTCCTTCTCCTGCCTCCACAGCCCCGAGCAGTGCCAAAGCAAATAAAGATAATAGAATGAAAGAAAGAATTTGCTGTGTGCAAATTTACTGCTCTAACTTTGCTTTAATGCCGAGCTGTGGAAAAAAAACAAAGCCAGCCTTCTCTATTTGTCTTCATTTAGAATTATTGCTCTACTTTTTATTGCCATCTTTCCAGCTCACATTTCTTTTTCAGGGAAAGACTTATAGGATTATGGAATTGGAAGCAACCTCAAAGGCCATTTGCTTCAGCCACCTGCAGTGAGGCAAGATCTATCGCGCTCACACGCTAACAGAGCAACCCTGATAGCAGAATACGGCTTGGGACTGTCCTTGTTACAATTTCCCAGAAGGAAACAAGATTCTAGACTTCCATTGGCTGCCTCCCTGACAATTAGGGTAGGCCAAAATGGTGCCCTCCGACTGTTCTTCGACAGCAGCCCTCAACATCTCTCTCTCCGCTGCCTATGCTGGCATCTCTGGAAGGCATCCTTTGACTAACATGTTTGGACCTGGTATAGTAAACTGGGAGAAATTGACAAGACTTCTACAACTGGATTATAATGCCAGCTGAACTAAGGTGTCCCATTGGCTTTGTCTTTTCTCCCGTAAGATTTTATTGAAGTTTTTTCATAATAGTGAGATAAAAGAAACTCACCTAAATAAAAACAAAAATAGAGAAAGAGAAAACAGAGTCCTCTCTCAAAGGTAACACACACTCTCTCTCTCTCTCCAATTTAGAATACTTGCATAAATCCCTGCATATTTTACAAAAACAACCATTCAGTATTCCATTATTACATCCATCAAAACTTATTTACCCTGTTGCCATTCTTCTTTGGTTGGGACCCGGCTCATTTTCCAACTTGGGGCTAACAAAACACAGGCTGCAGTAGTGGCATACATAAATAAGTTTTTTTGACATCCGGGAATTTCTGTCTGAATTATCCCCAACAGAAAGGACTCTGGTTTGGGGTGGAAAGTCCTTTTAAACATTTTTTTTCAATTCATTATGGATCATTTCCCAAGGCAGTGGTACGTCAGAAGTTGAATGGAATCCGCTCCGGAAGTCCTTCCAACTTCCAAAACGTTCGGAAACCAGGGCGTGGCTTCCGATGGGCTGCAGGAAACTCCTGCAGCCAATTGGAAGCCGTGTTGGACATCCAGGTTACAAAAGACATTTGCAAACTGCAACACTCACTTCCGGGTTTGCAGCATTCGGGAGCCAAAACGTTCGACTCGCAAGGCATTCACAAACCAAGGCACGACCGTATACTTTTACAAGTCCACTACAAATGAAGGAATGTTCTCTCAACCTCTTTGCATCTCCAGCACTTATCTGATTCAGCCTTGTACGTCTTGGCAAGCCTACTCCCTTTTCTGAAATAATAGCAACAGTAGTGGTAACGGTAAGAAAAGGAATTAAAATGGCTGCATATGTTAACACTGAACATGTCTCTCCCACCGAGGCTTTTCTGACATCCTCTCACAATCTCCTGAAGGTCAAGCCATGCTCCAGAGCATGTGCTGCAGCATGGGCTCTTATGGGGTGGCTTCTGTATGTGCACACAGAAGTGTCTTCAGGTCCTAAAAGGGACTATTTGAACTCTCGTCACTATTGGACTCTGGTCACAGCTGAAGGTGCATAGGGACCCTTTTTGCACATTCTGCTGAGCCTATGGAGGGTGAGGGAAGGGCAGTGCGCAGCGGCGGGGACTTGACCCCTTCATCCCCTTCGTACATTCAGCAAACACCCGTGGGTGTACAGAGCTGCTTGGGAAGATCTCCTTGGTTTTAAAGTTTTCCCCTTTGCATACTTGAGAGGTAAAGGTATGTAAAGGACCCCTGGATGGTTCAGTCAAAGACGACTATGGGGTTGTGGCACTCATCTTGCTTCCAGGCAGAGGGAGCTGGCGTTTGTCCACAGACATCTTTCTTGCAGGACTAAACTGCTTCTGGTGCATCGGAACACCATGACGGAAACCAGAGCACACGGAAACACCGTTTACCTTCCTGCCACAGTGGTACCTATTTATCTACTTGCACTGGTGTGCTTTCGAACTGCTAGGTTGGCAGGAGCTGGAACAGAGCAACAGGAGCTCACTCCGTCATGGGAGTTCAAACCTCTGACCTTCTGATCGGCAAGCCCAAGAGACTCAGTGGTTTAGACCACAGTGCTACCCGCGTCCCTGCATACTTGAGAGAATTGTACCCAAAGCCTCCATAGGCATTGCTCAAGTAGTTGCCCATTTTAGCTATGAAAAAATATGTGAATAATATTCATATACTCCTTAGGGGTAGTATAAAAGATAAAAAAAGATTTTAAAACATTTTCACCATTAAAATAAATTGAAAGGAGGGATCAAAGATGAAGCACTTCGGAAAACATTTCCCTATTTGTCACGAAGAGCTTTGCATGATTGGGGGAAAAACAAACACGTGCGCATTCATACAATGTATTTTTGTTCAGAATTTGTCCCGAGACACAAGCCAAGCCTCAGAGGTCCCATACCTACTCAACATAAACCACTGTAGCTTCGCAATGAAATCTGAAAATGCAATTTTCATCCAAGAGCAATAGGCCTAAAGAGAATACAAACAAATGAGAGCGAAAATACACAAAGACAATTGCATGCTCAAATATAATCTTTCAAAACAAAAGATTTTGTTTGCGACGTATTCATGGAACATTTGTTCTAAATTGGCTGAGTGACTGTGATTTTTTCTAGTACAGCATTCGTGTTCAGCATCATACACAATCTTTCCTATGCTGGTTTTTTACAAGGAAAGGAGCCCAGCATATTGTCGCCACTCCCCAGTCTTGCTGCAGCTCTTCTCGTAGGTGGGAGTTGGATTTTACATTTTCCCCTCCTGTTGTTTTTTCAGATCAAAATCGCCCTCCCCAAGCTACCTTTTCACCTGTGGAGTAGAAAGATGAAGGAAACACAGAGGTCTTTTCCTCCTTCAAATGAAAAAGGAGTTTGGGGAGGAGTAATGTGGAGCTGAAAAGATACCAGAGAGGAAAGGGTTAATTAACCACAAGCTACCCCCCCCATCCACCCTTTTTTCACTCAGATGGAATCTGCCCAATGTCCCTTTTGGTTTGGTTTTGTTTTTTTTAAACCATGCAGAGGAAGAACTCTAACAACTGCTGAAAAAATGCAAAATGAACATTAATGTGTTTTTTTTAAAGGTAGTTTATCCTCTTTTTCATTTTCGAATAACAGCCTAAACACATTGCAAAGAGGAATTCTGTACCAAAGAAACTCGGAATTTTATTCTTGGACTGGTAGATAACCACAAGACATCTCTCCCAATTTTCCAACCCCAGATACATTTTTCTTCATTTTCAAACTTAAAAGGAGGAATGCTACATTGGCATAATAATCTCACCCGACTCACCAGACCCAAGAAGTGCCTCTCTAAGGAGCCACATCAAATAGATGTATAAACAGAATTTGGGGCTTGTTCTTCTGGACTGGCTGAGATGGACCTAGTGGGGGCCAGTGGATATAGGGATGAGGAAATGGGCTTGCTGCCCATTTCTTGGCAGATTCCTAGATTTTAGGAGCTACAGGGAGCTGCTTTTTTACCTCTTCCCCATCTTCCAACAGAGAGCTCCGTCGGGGCTTCATAACTTTGAAGAGCACAAAGCTTCTCCTCCCAGATCTACTGTGGTACCTTGGGTTAAGAACTTAATTCGTTCTGGAGGTCCGTTCTTAACCTGAAACTGTTCTTAACCTGAGGTACCACTTTAGCTAATGGGGCCTCCTGCTGTCGCTGCATGATTTCTGTTCTAATCCTGAAGCAAAGTTCTTAACCCGAGGTACTATTTCTGCATTAGCGGAGTCTGTAACTTGAAGCATCTGTAACCCGAGGTACCACTGTATTTCCGGGGGGGGGGCACAGAATCAAGGTGCCAAAAAGTTAGGACCGTTGCCATCTCTGTCTGGAAGAGCTTCTGTGCTGTAACAACTATCTAACATACAAAGCTTTAGCAAGTAAATTTAGGATCGTATTCAACTAAGTGTTACTCACTGAAATTAATGGCCATGCTTAAGTCAGGTCCAGTAATTTCAATAGATCTATTCTTCTATTGCAGCAATATGACTTGACCCCTGTAGGCGCACTCCATTGTCTCTTAAGACAGATGGGTGCCAACAATCATTTTGAGGAAAACTTAGTTAAATACCAGCCCTTAGCAAGTATATTCTGGGACTCAGATTTTGCTGCTCGTTGGTTACTAGGGGCTGCCACCTCTGCTCATTCCACTTGCCAATCCTGCCTACCAATTAACCTCTCCCTCCTCCACAGCTGGCCAACCCCTCTTCCCTTTTCACCCCATGAATCCTTGCATATCCCCTCACAGATTGTTCAAAACTCCCCTCAAAGTTTGCTCCACCCAACTTCATGTTGTTGTTTAGTCGTTTAGTCGTGTCCGACTCTTTGTGACCCCATGGACCAGAGCATGCCAGGCACTCCTGTCTTCCACTGCCTCCCACAGTTTGGTTAAACTCATGTTAGTAGCTTCAAGAACACTGTCCAACCATCTTGTCCTCTGCCGTCCCCTTCTCCTTGTGCCCTCAATCTTCCCCAACATCAGGGTCTTTTCCAGGGAGTCTTCTCTTCTCATGAGGTGGCCAAAGTATTGGAGCCTCAGCTTCAGGATCTGTCCTTCCAGTGAGCACTCACGGCTGATTTCCTTCAGAATGGATAGGTTTGATCTTCTTGCAGTCAATGGGACTCTCAAGAGTTTCCTCCAGCACCATAATTCAAAAGCATCAATTCTCCAGCGATCAGCCTTCTTTATGGTCCAGCTCTCACTTCCATATATCACTACTTGCTCCAAACCACCCAACTTCCCTCACAGCTCACCTCAACCTCTTTGAAAGGAGGATGGGAAGTGTTTCAGGGGGCAGTTTGCCTATCCAATGGTGGGGGGGGCAAGCTATGCAAAGAAACAACAACTTTGCTCCCAGGCAGGATGCCCTGTATCTTAAAAGAAAAAGGTAAGTCCCCAAACTTGCCTGCGGAAAAAGATTCCACAAACTGTTTAGGCAGTTTGATCCTTGGCTGATCTATTTTTATATTTAGGAATTTATTCCTGATGCACAGCCTAAAACTGTCTCCCCTGTTGTTTAAATCCACTGATCTTTCACCTCTGTTTGGTGGATAAAATGAACATTTCTTTTAAATCCAGGGCATTGCATTTAAAGGAGGAGGAGGAAGAGGAGGAGGAAGGGGAAGAAGAAGAAGAAGAAGAAGAAGAAGAAGAAGAAGAAGAAGAAGAACTCTAACATTTAGAGTTACTTTTTGCAAACTTGGATGACCTGAACTGAAATAAACTTAAAACTAACAGTTTCGCAAACACCTTCTTTTCATTCGACTCCATACCTGCTCTGTCAAGGCATTAATTTAATGCCTGTCATAATTCCATGGAAGAGCATAAGCTCACTAAAGCCCACCATATCTGCCTGATCAGCATAATAAGAAAGATCCGATGAGAATATGATTGCGACTGGCGAGCACAAGGATTTTGCAAGCAAAGAAAAGCATGTTCGGTATTAATTGCTAATCTCATTCAGCCAATTTGGCACTGGGACAAAGCAACTGGCCGTAGCTAACTAGTGAGGGGACTCAGGAATTATTCCAGCTCAGAGCTGCGTTTTCAAGGGAGAAACATTGGGCTTAATCCCAGGTGCCTACTTTCTTTATAAATATATTAGCACGATAATGGGAGGCTTTTAAATGGGATTAAAACTACACGGGCAGCTGCTCTGCTAGTCAAGGGTGAAGCACGGTTGACAATACAGTTTAAGGAAATGAATGGGAGGCTAAGTGGCCAACCTGTGGCTCTGCGCACGTGAAGAACCTCATTTCTTAGCCATAATTGGATCATGTTGCATATTTCAATAGAAAACCAAATATGCTTAAAGAAATCTCTTTGCCTATGCTCATCACTCACTGAGTCTGCTGTTTCTGGGGCTCATAAGAGCCTTGCAATAGACAAATCGAGAAGCACAGATCTTTTCACACACTGCAAGCATGTCTGAAAGAGGGGTGAGAAGGGGGGGGGCTTTTGCTTTCAAATGGCAGAACTAAGAGAATGTGGTCCAAGCTGAGCAGGCCTTGGGCTTTGATGCCCTCTTTTTCTTTTGAAAACTCTGCAAAGGTGCTAGGATCCTTGCGCTGCATGCATTTCAAAACTAACACATGATCTATACGTATAGATGAAATTCTAATAAATGGCACAATATTGTCCATGTGAATAGACATACAATATCACAGATGGGTTCTGTGTCCAGGTTAGCTGTCTACCAGCTCCATCTGGTATGCAGGCTGAGACCCTACCTGCCCGCAGACTGTCTCGCCAGATTGGTGCATGCTCTAGTTATCTCCCACTTGGACTACTGCAATGCGTAGTGAAGGTGAACCAGGAACTACAACTAATGCAGAATGCGGCAGCTAGACTGATGACTGGGAGCGGCCGCTGAGACCATATAACACTGGTCCTGAAAGACCTACATTGGCTCCCAGTCATTTCCGAGCACAATTCAAAGTGTTGGTTCTGATCTTTAAAGCCCTAAAAGGCCTTGGCCCAGCATATCTGAAGGAATGTCTCCACCCCCATCGTTCAGGCCGGACACTTAGGTCTACCTCCAAGGGCCTTTTGGTGGTTCCCTCACTGCAAGAAGTGAAGCTACAGAGAACCAAGCAGAGGGCCTTCTTGGTAGTGATGCCCACCCTGTGGAATGCCCTCCCATCAGATGTCAAGGAAATAAACAACTACCAGACTTTTAGCAGACATCAGGAGGCAGCCCTGTTTAGGGAAGTTTTTAATGTTTGATGTTTTATCGTGTTTTTAATATTCTGTTGCCCAGAGTGGCTGCGGAAACTCAATCAGATGGGTGGGGTATAAAAAATACATTATTATTATTATTATTATTATTATTATTATCATTATCATCATCATCTATGGGCAACTGAACAGCTGAAAGTCAGTGAGAATGCAAATAGTGTATATAATTTATCAGAGATTCATGCCAATGCAGATGCTGGTGGACTACAACTCCCATCATCCTCGATCATTGGCTATCCTGGCTGGGGCTGATGGGAGTTGGAGTCCACTCACAACTGGAGGGACACAGTTGCCCACACTCTCTAATATTTATGCAACCCGTAGATTCCAAAGGGAGAATACTGGCACTTTCAAATGAGGAATTCCTTCAGACTTCCTGTTCACTGACTCAGTGTATTTGACCCCCACACCAGGGGCAATATATTATGATTTATCACCAATATGCATAGCTAATACGTAGAATCTCATCCATCTAGCTACCACATTTGTACCCTGTCTCCTTCTAAGGAACAGTGGGACTCACCTGCACTCCAGGTGTTTGCTGGCTGTATGATAATGTGAAGTTACCTGTATTGTTTGGCCCAGCTAGTGTTTACCATCACCTGCAGATTCACTTCAGTGTGGCAAGGGAAAGGTTATGAGGCAGTGGAATGAGTCGCTGACATCCTCTTAAGACATATGAAACAGGCGTCAGCCAACCAAGACTGTAAGAGGATGCACCGTAGATTTATACATCTAATTCACCCTGCAAGAAAGAGGAGGGTTTTGAATGGTGCAATATTTCATATTTATTGAAAACTTGAAAATATTGCTAGTTTTTAGTTTGAAAACCGTGGGGTGTTTTTAGTTGTTTTTAAAAAAATCAGAACTTTTTAAGGTTGTGGTGAAAGCATAAATTTAAACTAGAAAAGATACAGCAGGAGGAGAGACCACCAGGGTAGACCATAATTGCAAAGCTACCCATAAAACTACATTTGAGCTCTGATCTGATACCCAGGAACTCGTTTCAATGATCCAGCAAAATTCTTAACTCACTGGCTCACAAAGAAAGTGTTACCAATTAAGCGAAAGAAACTGTAACAGTCAGTTTTAATTACGCAAGAGATTCGCCAATCCATCCTCAGCTCTAGCTGATGATTTGACTGGAGATGTCTGGAACCAATTTACGGGCTTTTAATGTTGCGTCTAGACTTTAATAAGTGGTTAAGCACTAAGCAGTTCTGTGTAAGGATCAAAGTAGCTCCAGTGCATAGGTAGAAATGGACCAGCCACCAGCTCCTATACAAGTGGTTCACATCTATGCTGCAAAGTCTCTTCTCCTCCACAATGCCTTTCGAAAAGTTCTGGCTATATGTTATTCAATGTTCAGGGTCTGTACCTGTGCATATCTTCCAGAATCTGCTGTAAGGGCTGGCACATTCGCATGGATAGATATTCATTTTTGCTCTGAGATGAACAGAAATGTGTCACAACTGCATACTAGTAATGGGATCTTCTTTTGACTGTTTTTATAATTTAATATTTTGACTGCTGCACTTTTGTGCATGTTGTGCTGCAAACACTAACTGGACTTTGGAAAGAGGTTAGGGGGTTCTAGGACCCTGCTAGAGGCTAGGGAGCAGGAAAGACTATTTATGTATGCCACCCCGACTGCGCGGATGTTATTGGCCCAGAGATGGAAAGAAGATAAAGTCCCTTCCAGAGAAGAATGGCAAATTAAATTGATGGATTATGCCGAAATGGCAAAAGTGACCGGAAGAATCAGAAATCAGCAAGACCAAAATTTGAATAAGGAATGGGGGAAATTTATAATTTATCTTAAAAACTATTGCAAACAGCTAAAATTGTTAATAGGATTGAATAACACTTGTAGTATAATGGTGAATTTTGGACATAATGGAGATGTAAAAGATTTGGATTATTATGAAAGATGCAGGAGGAAATGACTAACAATAGGACCCACAAAGGGGAGGAGGGAAGTCCAGGAGATTCTTTGGAATCTTGTTTTTATGTTGTATGTTGGATATGTGATTGTAAAATTTTAATCTGAAAGACCAAATAGATACAGAGGACCCTGCCAGAGACTCACACCTTCTTCCCAAAGCCGGGCTTAAGCCAGCACCACGAGGATTCAGAGATGGGCGTCAAATGGCCTCACACAGCTCAGCATATTACCAAGACTCCAAAAAGAGAATATTGGCACTTAAAAATGAGGAATTCTTTCAGACTCCCAGTTCACTCATCCAGTTCAATCACTGAGCCCTTGCAGTGCCAGCTTAAGCCAGGCTTTGGGAAGTAGGCATAGCAGAGCCCTATTAACCCTCTTACTTTTGGGTAGCTGGAATATATCCTACTGAACGAAGGTACGAGTCAAACCTGTTGCTCCATCTACTTTTGTCTCTGGCCCCACCTGCCACTGGCATGCGGCCCCTGGAAGGAGGAACTATGGCCCCCAGCCTGTAAAAGCTGCCCCACCTCGCTTTGTTCGCTCTCTGAGAGCGGAAATGAAATCCACTCATATATTTTAAAAAAAAGAAATCTAGAATTTTAGCATAGCCATGACCATGAAGAATCACGTGCCACCACCCCATGGTAGCAATAATGACATTTTCACAGTGAGTGGAAACCCAGAAGTCACATCCGCACACAACAAGGTGAGTTGATCAGGTATATTTTCCTCTTCTTCTTCTTCTTCTTTTTCCTACTCCAGTCTTCCTTTTCCAGCTGACTCTGAACATTCTATGGTGACAGAGCATGCTGAGTAATCAATGGGCTTATTTTGCAGGAAAGAGGGAACCTTCCTACCTTTGATTTTTAAAACATTTTCTTTTTGTGCTTCTGTTTCTGAAAACCTCCGAGTTCCCTTGAGCAGAATGATACCATTGTCTCCTTGCTCATTGGTCTCGCTTTGGCTACAAAGTCATTGGCACTTTGGGAATGAGTTCAGCATTTGAGTGATGATGATGATCTATCTGCTCAAAGGTAGTTAGCCGTCTTATCTGAACAGACTTGCAAATGGGCCTCCAAACTTCCATAGATCATTACAAAGAAAACGGGCTGCTTTTCATTGACCGAGATCAAGCAAGTCCTCGGTCAGTTGACCTTGAACACAATGACTTCGGTTGGAATATTGCAGGTGAAACTGATCTGAACAAATACAGAGTGACAAGGCAGAAAGGGAGATCAGCCTTAAAAATTAGATGTCTCTTGTCCACATCAGCAAAACTGGCAGCAATTCCAGACCCACCAAGTGTCCCTATTTTCCAGGGACAGTCCCGGATTTACAGACGCCATCCCGGTTTCTGATTTGATCCCAGAATGTCCTGCTTATCCTTAGGACATCCCTATTTTCATCTGAGAAATGTTGGAGGGTATGGAGTTATGCAACCCCCCAAGCCAAGGCAATAAGTAACTATACAAGACATCTGAAGGCACCCTGCATAGGAAAGTTTTTAATGTTTAATGTTT